CTTATTACCTCCCCCACCCTTCCCACTTTCCTTACACCTTTAGCCCTTTACTTTCTATTTCACATTATTAATTATCTCATTAGGATCCTGTGTACTATTATAGATTTCTCACCAAAGAAACTATTCCGTATTTCAGTTAAAGAAATCTCTGTATGAACATTAACAATAGGGAAACCTAAAATAAAACTAAAAAGGAAAGTAAAAGAGAAAAGGCAATGATGTAACATTAAAATAATCCTTAATTCTGGAGATGAAAATTTTCCCCAAACATATTTAAATTGCTTCTTGCTCTTACAGTCTTATCTTATTTTTTTTCATTATTTAGAGAATGCTTTATTAGTTTCTGTAATCAAACCCACTTAGATATGACCTTATATATTTGGTATGATGTGTTACCCCTGTACACATGGAAAAAAATAAAAATAAAAATAAATTAACATTTCTAGACCAATATGGCTGTCCATTTCTGTACAATGCCAACTCAACACAGTAAATTGGGATGACTTTTTCCAAAGTTGGCAGCACCGTTAAAGTTTCCCAAAATTCAATTTATATATGTATGTATATATATTTATATTTATATAAAAAGACTAATAATAGTTTGTTATACATGGATATCAGCAACAGCTTTTCCAGGTTCTTCAGTCCTCTGAACAAAATTATAGACATTCAGCACATTCCATTAAAAAACAAAACAAAACAAAAAAACAAAGAAAAGAATAATATCCAGAAAACAGCAAAGTTGTGTTGCTGTTGTAGTACCTGGGACCATTTTTATTTTATAAGATATTGTATTCATAGAGGTATGATACAGTACCATCCTACATCAATAATATTAGAATCAGTTTTGGTTTGAAATTTACTTTGTCTGCAAATAAGATTGCTACTCCTGTTTTTTTCTGGGCTCCTGTCACATTGAGAATTTTGTTCTATCTTTTCACTTTCAGTCTATGGGCTTCTTTTTGCACTAGGTGTGTTTCTTGTATACAACATATTGTTGGATTTTGCTTCTTATTCCATTTTGCCAGTCTATTTCTCTTGATTGGTGAGTTGAGGCCATTGACATTGCTGGTTATAACTGATATGTACTGACTTATTATTGACATGTTATTGGCCTTTTGTTGACTCTTTTTACTTTTTCACCTTCTCCTTTTAATTTCTTGCCTTGCCTATTTGATTTGCTCTGTTGGGCCTCATGGTGTTGTTGCCTTCATTGTCTTTTTCTAGGATCTTGTTTAGAATTGCTTGTAGTGCTGGTTTGGTATTCATGTAGTTTCTCAGGTGTTCTTTGTCGTGGAAGTGTCTTATTTCCCCATCCATTTTGAAAGAGAGTTTTGCTGGATACATCAGTCTAGGTTGGAGGTTGTTCTCTTTTAGTACTTGAAATATCTCATTCCAGGCTCTCCTTGCCCCAAGGGTTTGTGTTGAAAAGTCTGCTGTGATTCTGATGGGCTTTCCTTTGTATGTGATTTGTTTCTTTTCTCTTACTGCTTGTAGTATTTTGTTCTTCTGTTGGGTTTCTGGGATCTTGATTATTATATGTCTAGGTGTAGATTTTTTTTGATTGTAGCTAGTTGGGGTCCTATATGCCTCAGTTATCTGAATGTCAAATTCTTCCCCTCTGTTTGGGAAGTTTTCTGTCATTAATTCTGCGAACAGCTTTTTAAAGTCATTTGTATTTTCTCCTGCTACTTCATGTATTCCTATCAGTCTTATGTTATTCTTCTTTGCATCATCTAGGAGTTGTTGGATCGATTTCTCATGATCTCTTACTGTTTTTAAGAGACCTCTCTTTTCATGGTCACTGACTGCAATCTTATCTTCTATATCTGAGAGTCTATCTTCGCATTCTTTTATTCTGTTGCATACACTTTCTATGGAGTGTTTAATCTCCTGGATATCTGTTTGAATCTGTTTTATGGATTCCATTTCTTTCCTATGTTGGGCATTTATTTTTTCTATTTCTTTCTTATGCTGGGCCTTCATGGCTTCTATCATGGTCCTGAGTTCATCTATTTTTCAGTCAGTTTCTGCTCTAGAGTCTTGAATCACGACTTCCATTTTGCTCACTATCTCTATGGTTATTTGGGAAATTATTTCTGTTTTGAATTTTTCTAGAGCTTGATTGATCTGTTTTGTTACTTCCTGTGCTTTGAGTTCAGGGTGTCCTGGTGGTTCACTATGGGCCTTTTCATCCTCATTTGCCCTACTGTTTGCCATTGGTGAACTGGAAGTCTGTCCTTGTGTCTTGCTTAAGTGTTTTCTCATTTTTATTTTTGTTGTCGACTGTCCTTGGTTTAATCTCTGGATTATCACCCAAATCTTCCTGATATAGTTGCGTCCTAGCTTCTGTGTCTCTAATGACCCACAGACATTCTCATCTTCATAACATCAGAGAAAACAGCTCATCAAATCAACAGCAATGCTTTACCCCAACTGATACAATCAGCAACACATTAAGATCAAGCACAACTTGGACACTGACCACCAGTAGTAGTCACTAGTCTATCACCCTTAAATCATTTGAATTAAATTGAAATCAAGAAGCAGTCCAGAACATGTCTTCAGTGAACAAACTTTTCAATATAGTATATTTACCATTTAATGGCTCAGACAGAGCAAGGATACAAGACCCCTGATTTTAGTTAGCTGATGGCTGAACCCCATGATGCTGACTTACCTCAGGCTGCAAGGCCCAGATTGAGTTCCCCATCCTTCTGAATGGTTGAACTCCACAACGTTCTACTACAGGTTTCCCCGCCCTTTCTTTAAAGATGTTCAAAGTTGGGAACTCAGAAAAATACCCTTGATGACCACCTCTGCCTCTGCAGAGTGGGTCCAAAAACTGGCACAGTCAGGAGGACTGAGAGTGTGGGGGGAGGGGCTTATGGGGGTTCAGGGTTGCCCACGCAGCTACATTCCTGGCACTGGAGCTATGGCGGCTGGGTCAGGAGCAGGCGTGGTTCTCCTTCCCACGGTGGATCGTGGCCCAGGCTTCTTCCCGGCACTTGAGCGATGGCAGCTGGGTGGGGAGCAGGCGTGGTTCTCCTTCCCACAGTGGATCGTGGCCCAGGCTTCTTCCCAGCGTTTGAGCGATGGCAGCTGGGTCGGGAGCAGGCGTGGTTCCCCCTTCCTGTCTCTTATTAAAGAAAGCACCGGTCTTTCCTAAGATTTTTCCTAAGCCTTTCGTATGCTTCACATGCATAATGAATCCACATAGGCCTTTCTCTTCTCCAACTTCAAATTTTCAGAAGATCACCTGCTTTTTAGAAAACCATCTGCTGGGCCTGGCATGAGGCTAAGTCTAGGACATAGAAATATGGGCAGCATGGGCTTGTGGTCTTGGGGAGTGAAGCGGCTATTAGAGCAGGGGAACACCAGTAATAGAAGTAATGGGGGCAGTATGCTAGGTTCAGGGATTCTCTGTTTGAGAATTCACATTTTAATGATTTATCCATTCAAAACTACCTTAATTTTTTATTTGCCTGTATTTTTATCACTGAAATAAAATTCGTTTTTAATTCCCACTGATGAGACAGGGCCGGGCACCAGTAAAGACTGGGCACACTATCTAGAAGTAAAACGGGACAGAGGGACCCCAAACTGCTCTGGGCCCTTGCGCCTGCGTGGAGCAGAAGCAAACCACATATTCCCTATATTGAGGTGCCTGGCAATCACGAAGTGCACTACCTGTTTAATCACAGAACTGGGCAAAAATTACAAGCACCGCACACCAACCAAACAGCTGGATTTTAGAAAGCCAAGGTGAAGTTGATGCTGTCTTAGGGAAATGTGGCGGCAATGCACTGTGAGGCGTTCGAGCACTTTCTGGCTTTGAAAGCTCACAGCAGTTTCTAGCTGCTTTTCTTTCTGACACTTGGCAGCTGATGATGGAGGAAGATGTAGCTAATGATTGCAGTGCAAGGCTCCGTTCTGTGCTGAGTGCTCACTGTCCTGCAGAAGGGATATCATTTT